AAACTGGATTAGCAGCAGGGCGGCAAGGATTGGAACTGAAGCCCATATGGGAAGTCTGTGCTGCAGACAGAGGATTAGCATGCAAGGTTACTGTGCTGCCCACAAAATTCCTTATTGTATCATGTTCACTTGTTGCTAATGCACATTCATTTGAGAAAAATAAATCGAAGGCCTGGCACAATGGTTCAATTGCCTCATCATCCTCCTTCAAGAGCCAGGATTGTAGATGGATGCCAATTTATGTCCTGGCTACTCCACTTCCCATCCAGCTCCATGCTTGTGGCCTGGGAAAGCAGTAGAGGATGGCCCAAAGCCTGGGGACTCTGCACTCACATGGGAGATCCTGAGAAGGCTCCTGGCCCTTGACTTCAGAATGGCTCAGCTCCAGTCATTGTGGCCACTTGGAGAATAAACTAGAGAATGGGAGAGCTTTCTCTCTGCCTCTGCTTCTCTGCAAATCTACTTTGCAATGAATAAAAAAAAGATTTATTTATTCATTGCAAAGTCAGATATACAGAGAGGAGGAAAGACAGAGAGGAAGATCTTCAATCCGATGATTCACTCCCCAAGTGAGCACAATGGCCCATGCTATGCCGATCCGAAGCCAGGATCCAGAAACTTCTTCCAGATATCCCACAAGGGTGCAGGGTCCCAAGGCTTTGCGCCATCCTCAACTGCTTTCCCAGGCCACAAGCAGGGAGCTGGATGGGAAGTGGAGCTGCTGGGATTAGAACCGGCATCCATATGGGATCCCGGCGTGTTTAAGACGAGGACTTTAGCCACTAGGCCATGCAGCTGGGTCCTAAAGATAAATATCTTAAACAAAAAAAGAAAACTGAACCTTGAGATATGATTTCCTTAAGCGGTTTATTTGTGCTATAAGTCAAAGAAAACAAATCTAGGCTTAAGAGAGAAGATTTTTTATTCAAAATGAATATTCCCATGGGGAAGAATATCAAGGATGGGGAGCAGGAAGCCTGCTGTAAGAATTCTAATCAAGAGGGCTGCAAATACCTCAAAGAGCAGCAGACTTACAGGAAGGAAGTTCTTTCTAGTAGGTGTGATGTACTAGGTCTAGTAGGTTAACCAGTGATCAGACAGGAGATCAAAGAATACCCTGACCCTGGTCTGCTGGGAGGGCCTTTCTGGAGGTAGTGCAGTGAAGTCTCACACTAAAGGTAGACCAAATTTAGAGCAAGTAGAAGAACATTTTGAAGGTTGTTTAACAAGCATTTGGTAATCTTTAATCAGTGAGGATCAAAGATTAGGAACATTCTAATAACTGGATAGACAAAGAGTAAGAATTTGAGGGTTTGCCAGGCTTTTCAGCAGCAAGTTAGGATCCCTGCAGGTGTCTTATCCATGTCTTAGGTGACAGAGTGATTCCTTGCAGTAACAGGTTTCCATAATGCAAAAAGGTGAATTTATAAGTCATTACAGTTTTCCAGGGACTCAAGTGAAAGGTAAAATTCAACATTTTTACATATTAAAAAATAGGTTTTGTTTGAAGTCAAATATCAGCAAGATTTAATATATATTTGGTTGTTTCATATCCAAATGGCATTGCCCTGTAAGGGGTCATATGGTATACATTTTCATAGTAACCTGTTTAGTTGCATCCTCTATCATAATCTAAAAGCAACAGTGTAGGTTTCTTTCATGTTAATCTTCATGTTAGGTTTGTTAAGTTCAATTATTTTTTTTTTGACTTTTGCTTTGATGTGTGGAGACTTTATTCAGTGCTATGTCTCATCTAGTTTTTGTTGCCCGTGTTTTTGGTGTCACATATGGGAAAACCTTGTCAAAATCAGTGTTAAGGATTTCTGCTGCATCTTCTGTGTGATGTGAAGCTTGGAGCCAGAAGGTTGTTTCGAATTTCCATTGTGGGTACAAAGGCCCAAAGCTTTGTGTCATCCTGTGCTGTTTCCCCGGCCATAAGCTGAGAGCTGGATTGGGAGTAGAACAAGTAGGACACAAACCAGCGCCCTTATGGGAAACATTAACAGGTGGGGGATCAGCTTGCGGTGTCATCGCAGCCCTGGTCCTCATTCCCCAACTGCTGCACTTTTGATACCACTTCCTGCTAATGCACCAGGGAAGGCAGTAGACGAGGGCCCAAATACCGACATGAGAGACCCAACTGAAGTTCCAGGCTCTTCACTTGTGCTTTACCCAGCTCTGGTTATTGTGGCCATTTGAGGAGTGAACCAGTAGGTATAATAACCTTTTTCTCTCTCATTCTCTGTCTCTCCACCCTTAACCCTACCCAGATCTTCTTCTTTCAATAGCATTGCCTTTAAATAAGTAAACACACAAATCATTCAGAGGAGGAGCTTTATATAAGAAGCTGCTTTTTTCTTAAAAAATTGGGAAGTAGTAAAATCAAAGATACTTTAAAAATATTGGTCTGCTGCTTTTATTATGTTTTGTAAGAGAGTCAACAGAATATAACGTTTAGAAAGCAAATACAAAAATTACATCATCTGTACCAATATAGTGTTAATATTACAAAAAATCATTAAAGATATTTCTGTTGGTATATATGGATATGTATGATCCATCAATACATATTAGAAGAATATCATTGCAAATTTCTCTGTATCTGTATATTCATAAGCAAGCTTTATTGATCTATTTATGTACTGAAATCCATAAGAACAACAGCATATGTAACAGACATAGGTAGGGAAAATAACCTACTATAGGAATAAAAATTATGAGTGAAAAGATTTTTTACAAAATAATTCTCATTTAAATTTTATTACATTCTGTTGTCATATATATTTGTTAGAAAAGGGCACAATACAATGTTATACATCATCATTAAGTTCTCTTAAAATTTAAGAGAAACATGTTTAAAGAAAAGATATCATTAAATGCTTTAAATGGCATGAGCTTAAAACATTGATTTAAAACCTCTAGCATCCAAAAAACTGCTATAGTTGTAATTCATGCATTTCAATTACAAATGACTTGTCCCTATTCCACAACGTTATAGAACAATACACAGGGTCAACAGACATGTTTCTTTTTTGAAGGATAAGCATACACATAATCCATGTAAATATAAAAGGGTTCACTGGGACATGTCGAATCAATGTCAAAGTGAGTGCAAAAGTTATAAGTTGTCAAAGTCAAGAATCAGGAAAGATACGTACTTTCTACAATGTGTTTAAGTTGGTACTCACATTTGTTGGTGTTTGTTTCTGAATTTAATAGTGCTGGTGGGTGGAGAAAAATGGTTGCTTGATAATTCCTCAAGTTTAAAAAAGAGGTTTTAAGCAAAAAAGAGAATGAAAAGGAGTTTCAAATATAAGCATGTAGGCCAAATAAATAACAATTGTAATCATTCATGAAAGTTACCATGTGATACAAACTCTCACCTCTGTGAAAGTTTTAATTCATTTGGTGCTCACACCACCTAATTCATTTCATTTAGAATTTAAGAAACAGACACTTTCAGAACCAAATTTACCAGAGTGAGGATAAACAGTTGGTAAATAAAAGGAGAAGAAAATTGAGTCACACTCTGTGCTCTTCAGCACCATACTGTGATATAACTGTATTTACTATAGGATGCCAAAAGTACAATATGGCTTTTGACCTTGAGCTCTCTCATATCTTCGTTAAGTAAATTCTTGCAAGAACTCCAGGAAAAGAATCCCAGCACAGGGGTTGAATGTCCTGGAGCTAGTCCACCTCTCGTAGTGCAGCAGTAATGCAGCATTTCCCTTCACGTTTTCCTGGAGACAGCCTTCAACCAGCAAAGGGTACTTGCAGAGCAGGTCTATCGTTTTCATTCATGTCTGTCTTTCTACCAGGATCTCATCAGACATGATTCTGTAAGGTCGAAGGACCAGTGGCTGTGAGGTAGTGAGCAAAAGAAAGAATAATACCTCATCAAAACAGTTCGATTATGATGCGCTATTACCAATTTTGAAACAAATGAAACGTTTCCCTCCCACTGGCAGTGCCCTCTGGTTATCTTGATTGTTCTTGTCAGAGGTACAAATAAGACATGTTCTGCACTCCTACATTTTCTCAGAGCAAATGTAGGTCCAAGTGGCATCTAAACAAAGTTATTTTCTAAGTATCAAATTGATCTTAGAGCATGCTTACTCCCAATAAAACCCTTACCATAAAATGTATACATTTAAAAATATTTGCCTCATATGGTTACTATTCATGTATTTATATTCAAATGCCTATTAATAATTAACATTTTACTAATCTTGATCTATAAGGATTAGTAATACAGTTTCTCTTCAAAAATAAGACAGAAACTTGTATTTGCCAAAGTAGACTAATATGTTAATCATATGTGTTTTTAGTTAAAATCAGATCAGTAAATTCTTAAAAACTGCATTTAATAGAGAAATTTTTAATGGTTAACATTGTTATATTGAATAATACTCACTTTGTATGAGATGTCCCATAATTTTGTTGCATACATTCACTCAAATGGCTTTTGAGAGCAGCATGCAATATTTTTTAAACTGGTACACCTACCATTGCAATGCTGTAATGCTCTCACGCTCTGCATGCCCTTACGAAAATGGACGTTGTAGCCCTGCACCTTAGTGTATGTCATATTACAAAGACTCTAGTGAATGTGTAAATAATGACACCAACCATGTGAAGTCAAGAGTTCCGAGACCCCATGACTCCTATAAAACATCGATGGACAGGTTTATGTGGACAACATATTTGGCACTTCCCACGAGCCACTTAAAAGCTCAAATGGTATCATAAATTCAAAAGTCTGGACTTAAATAGGACATAGTTGATGACCTCGGTTTTTTTTTTTTTATTCCATTTTAAGCATCACTGGGAATTGAGGGCTGAAAAGCAAAGTTTTTGAAAGTTCGTATTGAGTAAACACACAAACCAGACTGTCATCATTATTTATCAATTACTTAATGTCATTGCAAGTTAGGTGATTTTTTTTTCTTCCAGAAAACTCTTTAGAGTATTATATTTGTCATTTGTTTGACTTACAGAATTTTGGATCGCTACGTTCAGGAGCAAATTCCTGGTTCCAAGGTTGTGGTGGAATCTATTGGTGCTCGCCGGCATGGAGACGCCTTTTCTCTAGAAGATTACACCAAATGTGACCTGACTGTCTATGCAATCGACCCCCAGACCAACAGGGCCATAGACAGAAATGAGCTATTCAAGTAAGTCTATTTTCTTGTTTATAACAGCTCTGTAATTAAAGCACTCCCAGAAAACGCCGATATAAGGTGATAAATATAAAGCTTAAAACTCATCAAATTGTTGTTGAAAGCCAAGTGTAAACAGGAACTCTGAGCTAATATCTAAACCTTTTCAATGCCAAGGGTGAGTTACAGCAACCCGAGATCTGCTCTAATGTGCAGCAGAAAGTGGATGATAAGTTTTAAAGAATAAGCCAGGCAAGTTGTTGATGATTCTATTAAAGCTGTTGGTTCTCATTGTTGCTCCAAGGTCTGTATTGTCGAGGGAAGCATAGATACTCAAAGAACTGTTTGCCTGCAACCCAGTAGCCTTAATTGGAAGAGCAGATCCAGCTTTCTTAAAAATTTAGTGAATAAGCAAATATTAATATCTTTGTTTTTCTGTGACTTGAGTATGGAATGCAGAGGGGTAATCACTCCCACTGAAGTGCATCCCCTACGTGATGTTCTATTCTAGTGTAAATTTGAATATCTTAGTTTACAAATATAAACAAAATGCAGAATACCCAACAAAATTCCAAGTATTTTCCCTTAGATGTTATTATAGCAGTTTAAAACTTTAAAAAGTTCTATTAGCAATTTTTGTTTTACTCTACTGTATCTAGCATCTAATACATTTATAAAAACAGATTTATAGTTGAGACATTTTTAAATATTTATTTATTTTAAAGATTTATATAGAGAGGATATACAGAGAGACAGAGAGAAAGAAAGAAAGAAAGTCTTCCATACACTGGTCCATTTCCCAATGGTCACAATGTCTGGAGCTGAGATGATCTCGAGCCAGGAGTGGGGAGCTGCTTCTGGGTCTCCCACGTGGGTTCAGGATGCTCATGGACTTCTTCTATCCTTTGCTGCTGTCCCAGGCCTCAAGTAGGGAGCTGGAGAAGAAGTAGAGGAACCATGACACGAGCTGGCGCCCAGATGGGATGCTAGCACTGCAGAAGTCTTACCTGTTGATATGAAATTGCAATCCATGCATAATTTTATTCAAAATATGTATTTTCATGAACTTTTTGACATACCTTCATATTGATGTTTAGTTGCACATGTATATATTCTGTTTATCTTTTCCTATATATCCTTAACTTACATTTATATCCAAGATTCATAATTTCAATAGTTTTTCAGTCTTTACAGCACATAAATATATCCATATACAAATTCATATACATAGAGCATGTACATATAGTCAATATGCTTATTAATATTTTGCTGCAACTCATAATTTTGAATGTAGGTTGTCTGAATGTTCATTAATAAAATTTCATCATTGCTGTTTTAGCAACAATGAAATAGCAGTTTATTTTCAAGTTGATTTTGTAAAGTCATAGTTATTATATTTATCAATTTAGTATACATTTGAATTACAGACAAGGTAATGTATTAATCACTTTGTGTAAATGTAGATGAATGAAATGATTGCACCATCTCAGCATTCATTACTAACAAAATGGAGTAAGATTTAGATCTGCCTGGCTAAATTTTCTATGTCGATTAACTAAAAATTTGGGGGGTGAGTGCAGTTTGAAAGAAATTTTTATAGTCATTCTGCTAATTTCCATCATAAACCTGTTTTCTTCTGCATTGAAGATGACTTCTTTGTTTTCTTCATTTTTTCAAATTTACTGGTGATTATGTTTATAAAGTTTTCCCTAATTATATAAAAATTATTTAGGATTTTAGTCAATTTTCTGGAGTATAATGTAATTATATTAATAATTGCTCCAGCTACAGTTTTAGGGATAAAAATGCTTGGAAACAAGTCCATTGGATTTTTACTATCACTGTCAAGCACAGAAGTATTTTATTATACAAAGTAAATATCTGAATTCAGCAGAATAAATGCAGCCGCCAGGTAGAAATCAGAAGTTTTGTAATGAAGAAGATAGAAGCCATGAAGTGCTAGCGTGTTCTTTTAGTATCTTCACCTTGACCTCATCACTGTGAAGCCGGGGCAGAGTAGAATTTTGAACCGTAGAATTGTTCCTGTAATTATTTTGCATTGACATTTTAAGATACTATATCCCGAGCCTGGTGACATACAAGTATTATCTTTTCTGTAGTTATTAGCATTATTGAAAATGTAGTAAACACTGAACAATAATACTAGCATTTTAGGCTTCCTGTTTAATACCCAGACCGATGGAAGTAAGATTTTTTTTTTTCCTTTTTCCAAATCTGCCTTATACTAAAATGCAGGCTTCTAAGGATGTTTGAATTGTCAGGCCAAAATAAGTGAAAACAAAAATCACTATTACTCCAGAGTTCACTTTCATTTTTTAAATGAATCAGAAATTTAAAGCTAATAAGTCTATAGAGAAGACTAGCATTACTTTTAATTCCAAATTAACAACTCATTTTATTTGATAATGTTATTGGTATGTTATTTTTCTAGGTTTTGCTTACAAGAACAGCTTATATTGTCTTAAATAACTATATATTACTTTTATTTTTCTGTGGGTCTCTAGATTTATTTAACCTGAATTTCTGGTTTGTTTTTGCTTTTTCTTTTCCTTTCTAAAATGGTATGTCACAGTTAAAATATTTTTAAAGAATTACTGAGATAAACTTTGAGTGTCATGTCATTCGCTCATGGAAAATCTATAATCCAATGATTATTAGTATAATCAAAGTTGTGCAGCAGATAACAAAGAAAAGCTGCAACCATTAGCCAGATGTTTTCCATTTGTTTCCTCCCTCCTGCTAACTCACCTCCTGCCTCATCCTCCACTGACCCCATTTATGTATTTCCCTCATTGTGGATATGCTTGCTGCAGATAGATTTTTAAAATATTCCTTCTAAATAATTTGTTAAACTCTGTACTATTGGAAACAATATTCAGATGGAATGCAATACCCAACAAACCACCAATGGCATGCTTTAAAGAAATAAAAAAATCTTACAAATTATTATGGATCACAAAAAGATCCTAGAAGTTAAAGCATGCATAAGAATGAAGAAGTATCTTGTTGCCTTAGTTTAAAATATACTTTAAGCTATTCTCTCTGAAATGGGGTCAGACAGATGAGCCTGGAAACACACACGCACACCACCACCCACCCCCAAGGAAATAGAACACGGCCAGTAATAAAGCCATGAATTTATGGTCAAATCATTTTTCCTTAAAATTGCCAAGAAAGCACGTTTTGGCCATGGATGAACTTTTAATGAATTGTCTTTTGAAGTGAAATATTTTGAAATATTTCTTATGCCCCATTTTCTTTACATTATTACAATTATAATTCTATTACTTCCCCCTCACAGTTTTAGGATATGATGTTTTGGCCCCTGACACAGTTTCTCTGTTTCAGCGTGAATTATTTTTATGGCCTTATTCTTGAGTTCAGTAATTTATCTGTGTCACCCTAACGATGAGATCACTAAAGAAGTTCTACATTTTGAGAACCTTTACAAATAGAAATTTCCTGCATTTCCACGAGATTCTCTGTCGCTCCCCCGACTGTACTGATTGCCTGAGTTCAAGCGTGCTTTTCCTTTCCTCTAGAATCTCTAATGCATCGGTCATACTTTATCGAAGTCACTGACCAGTACCTTTGTATGGTTCTTTTTTGTTACTTTATTTCTTGAAATAGGTTTTCTGTTTGTTTTCTGAATGTTTTATGTATTGTTTATTGCATGTTGCATGTGGTATGCAATACAAACAAAAACAGTAAGGGGTAAGCTAAACAGGTTTACACTTGCAAGTTATGTGGATGTGCCTCCTCTTGTTGAGTAAATTGACTCACTGTAAGTAGTTCGCTCTAGTTGTTGTTGAACCATAACTTGGCACTATGCCATGAGCATCAAGTTCTTGTTTCATTCTCTCAATAGGTAGGCATGCTAGGGTGGTTTCTCAAGCTTCTTCATCCGTGGTTAGTTCTCACAAGTCCTGCAAGGCTGTGTCAAAGAGGGGTATCCTCCCACATTCACCTCTCCTACAGTGTAGGCAGTGCCTGGCTTTTTGCTCAGCTCTATCCTAATAGTAGTACTGAAGTGTTGGGTAGGGTTGGTCTGTCCTTCTCATCGACCTTTCATTATCTTCGTAGTGGTGGTGCTTCGGCTTTTCTTCCTTTTCATCTCATGGCAACCACGCGGTTTCAGTTTTGCAGTGGGTGCTGGCTTAAGACAGCTCTTTGCTGCTCTGCTACCAGTAGCTACAGTAATTGTACTTGAGGTAGAAGCAGGAAGTCCTTGGCGGCTGAAGGTCCTCAACACAGTATGAGGCAGGGTTATACTACCGGTTACAGAGGCAGAGAGCCATCCTAAGCCAGCACCCAACAGAGTCGTCACCGGTTAAGTGACTTCATTGCTAGAGGTAAAGTTTCACTGGCAAATTAATGATCCTTTTCCAGGCAAGATTCTTCCTAGTTTTAACATCATATATCTTTTCATACAAGTCTTATTCTGTACTTCATTTATATGTTCTCTGGTTTTACCTAATAGACGTTTAAAACAAAATGTTAACCTGCTAGTCTGCTTTTATCTGAAATTGACCCAGGAAATTGCTATGAAGTCATTTGTTGTCTACAAAAACAAATTTGGATTAAAAAAATGCTGATTGTCTTATACTACAGAATGAAAACGTAATATCCAAAAGTATGTAGCACTACAACTAAAATTGAATTATCCAGATCATTGGGTTTCTTCAATGAGAAAAATAATGAACTGCCCAATGGTATTCATATCTAATACAAGAAACTTCCTTTGCTTTTGACATGGTAACTATAAGAATCTCTGTAGCTAGATTAGAATCAGTAAGATCAATCTGACAATTAAAATGAAAAGTGTCAAATTAGTGAACAAATCATTTAATCTATACAAACCTACCACCTGGTTATATTCTAGAGGTGAAGTGAGGGGTCCCTCTTGCTTTGTCTTTCATGCTTTAGGGTTTCACATGGTTCTACATAAGGTCATGATTTAATTTTATGTTAAGAAATATATTTCAAAATAATATATATGGTTTACACTGCATGTTCAAATATGTAAAGTGCTCATTATTCAGAAAGTTAGACTAGAATATATAGACATAATAAGAGAGATTATGCTTTTCTTTGCATCATGAATCTGAGTAACTTTTCCTTGATCAGATTTTTGCTTTCCAATTTTCATTAGTGATATGTTGTCTTTTATAAATTAAATACTAGTATTTTGAAAAGAAAAATAAGTTTGTTTTTGTGTACTAATAAGTGTTTTTGAGTTAATATGTAGAATATGTAGGATTTAGAAACTGTTGAAAACTGAGTAATTAAATTATGCTAATTATAGCATAAATTATGCAACATAATTTACTAATAGTAAGATTAAATAACATTATTCTTTGCTCCTCCCCAAAGCTCTACTCATAGAATTTCATTATTTAGAGAAAAGTTTTGGGGAACTAAACTGACCACTAAATCTTGTGATTCTGACTAGAATTACACACTACTTGCATCCTTTATATAGTCTTTTCTTAAAGGGGAAAAAAAATCACATTTTCTCCCATTTAAAATTGTGTGGGCTTGAGATTGTGTGTTGCTATTTAAAACTTATGAGGAAAACCACATTCAGTCTGAGCTTCCATAACTGACTAGATTTCTGGCTTCCAGTGTAGTGGTCTATGCTTACAGGATAAAATGTATACATTTTAGAATATGCTGTATAAATTAAGAGCTTACATTTTTTTTATCTGAAGAATTTAATAGAGGTAAGTTATTATATTCACCTATATTAAGTTCAATGATTTTGATAATTCTGAAGTCTAAAGTCATGTCATTTTTCATTCATATACAAATGTGTAGTTACTCTTGTTTAGTGTCCATGCATTTTTTATGATTTTCTTATTATCCATAACACTTCTGACTCAATTTGTCTTTCAATTAACTATTTAAAGAGTGTACAAGTTTTGTTGTAACAAGGCTCTTTCTGCTGACCTTTTTAATTTTACTATTTATCTAACAATAAGATTTTTGGATGGCAAACTGCTGGATATCAATAAAGATTTTCAGCCATTTTATGGGGAAGGAGGACGTATTCTGGAGATCCGAACCCCACAAGCAGTGACCAGCATTAAGAAGCGAGGAGAAAGTCTGGGATACACGGAAGGGGCCCTGCTGGCTCTGGCCTTCATCATTATCCTCTGCTGTATTCCTGCCATCCTGGTGGTCTTGGTTAGCTACCGACAGTAAGTATTCACGGATGCTAACTTAACTGTGGGAAGTTTCTCAAATTCTGAGCTGTTGGAAATCATCTCTGGTGCCATAGCCTTGTAGGTGTCAAATGTTGGTGACAATACAACCCTCATCTGATGGCTTTAACCCTCTTGTATCAATTCCTTCCTCACCGTGAAAACAATGCCCAGAGACACAGTGCCACAGTCTTCACAGGTGGCACCGTACTCCCATGCTCTAAACTTTTCTCCCGCATTAGGAATACTGGGTTAGCTCTTACTGTTTTGTTTCTGCTCCTTTGGAGGCAAGAGCTTCAGAAGAGAATAGGTAAGAAAGCCTATGGACAAACATGTGCAGATGTACATGTTGCTCAGTTCCAAAGGCAGGCTGGTGGCCTGACCTCATTGTCGTGGTAGGTTTTTAATCCATAGTGACGCCTTCATCCCTGTGTGGAGGATCGCAGTGTTGTGTGCAGTGTTGTGTGTCCCTCTGCTTTCTTCCCGAGTAGCTCTCCTAGGATGTGCATCGCCCTGGCCGTCTCTTTTGGTTCTACTTTTCCTTAAGGGTCTCAGGCTCCTTCAGTCAACTAAATTCATTCACAATATCTGTATTTATACTATTATAGCCTGGCTATTTTTGCCTTTTCTTTAGTTGAAGTATTCTTGAAAGCACAGAAGCAGAAACTTGATGATAGAGGTCTAGATTTTTTTTTAATATGTTCTACTGATAGTTGATAAACATTGAGGAGTTGGTTATGAAGTGAGGATGCCACCAGAAGAAACTAAAATAACAGACAAGAGTCATAAATATTGTAAATTACATCTGATGTAGCAAGATAGTGATCAAATTTCTGCTCATTTGTAATGCGAAACTACTATTTATAAGTATTTAGACCTTCTATTTGTTTCTCAAATACAACTTTGTTAATAAAAAAAGGTAAGAAATGTCTAACTGGAAGTCTAGAAATATGCTCTCTGTGGTATTACTACAGAAAGTGTGTGAAGTGACAGATGTGGCATTGGGTTGATATGTTTGAGTTTTAATATATCCTTAACAAATATTGAATGCTAAAAGAAAGATCAGGGATAGAGGAATCTGGAGAAAGATTTTCAGTTAGTAGGCAATCAACCTGATCCTAAGTCTTCTGTCTTATGTGCCTTTGTGTTTTAAAATGTTTTCCATAGAGGCTTTTTGCGTCCTTCTTATATTGAAGTCAATGTAACAGAAAAATTCTTACATTTGCTATGCAATAGAGTTGTTAAAACTGATTGCTTCTGCATACTTTACGTAGAATTCTGAAATTTCAGAATTCTGAGGCTGATTTATTTAATACGTGTTTAGTCCAGTTTAAGTTTTTTGACATAAAAATCAAAGTATTTTACTATCTAAACTTTCTAAATTCATACTCTACTCGTAGACAGGACAAATAGGTACTTTAAAAAATAGTATGACAGGTTGAAATATTCTGTGTATGGAAAACAAGCAAATATGGGAAAGAATGTCATGAATTCATTCACAAGTGGCACCTTCCAATTTTGGTTTCAGCTCCTAAGTGAGACCATCGTAATTTAGGGCTGATTGCATGAGCCTGATTTTTTTTTCAAAATTCTCTTTATGCGTAATAAAGCAACAAGCCAGAAATAAGTATCAGATCACCTTTAATATTTTCTTTATTAGAATGAAATTCACATATTTAATGCAGTTGTATTTTCCACTTTATTTTTTTCCTAGTATGAATATTCTACAGCGTGTGTAGCTCCGAACTGAAGTACTGAGTTTCTCTATGTGTTAACTGTTTCATTATTAGTAGGTAAATTGCTCAAAATCAGATGTTAAAAATGAGTATTTCTAATGTAACTTTTTTCTTACTCTTTGCTTTCCCAAACAGGTTTAAAGTGTAAGTATAATTACCATTATGTTGCATCTGATTATTTTAAATATGAAAAAAAGAAACTCTGGATTATACAAATTAAGTGCCAGCCTCTGCTCAGAATCATATATCCTTTATTTTGAATCTATGATATGTTCACATATTTTGGTTTGTTATATATGGGGCTGAATTGATTTTAGATTTTTTTTTTCCATATAACTGGGGTCATTGTGAAAAAGAATGTCATTGTTTGGATCATCTGAGGGCCAGGTCTTGCCCTTGACGGAAGGATAGACAGGTAGTATCCAAGACATTCAAAGTAGCTGCCCAGTACTAACTAGTCACGGGCATTCTAAGGAAACAATCACCAGATCCACAGAGCCAACCAATATCCCTGCTGCATCTGTACACACAAGCAGGATCTGGGAACTGCCGATGCTACTTACTCTAAATCATTTATCCTCTATGCGCCCCATCTTACAAGAAAAAAATCCTTCAAGCAATTACCAATTATAACTGACCCATATGATCATATTTATGGCAAACCATATCCGTGCGTACATCATGTAATGTTCAGAGCAGTCATATTTGTCCCTAGAAAACCAGAACTGCCTGTAACTTTGTTTTGTATCCCTTTCTTGATACTAATTTGCAAATACTTCTACTGAGTGTGATCACTTGGTCAGTCAACAGAGTGAACCATCTGAGGGGCATGTTGCTTGAGAGTCTGTGAGGTTGCCTCTTTGATGCCAGTTGATGAGGTCAGATATTTGCTAATTAGGCCTAATGGTTAGAAAGCAGCCTATCGATGAGCATGTGATTGCTAACAAAACGTTTCACGAGATAACCTTACTTTATCCAAGACGCCAGGCCGAGTGCACCAAGACAGCCCGAATTCAATCCGCGCTTCCCGCAGCTAAACCTGCAGCGCCCACCGCTGCCCCGGTGGCAATGCCCCCGCCGCCACCGCCCCCGCCGCCAGGTGCGCACCTCTATGAAGAACTTGGAGACAGCACGATGTAAGTAGACCTCTCAGGAACTCTGAGAGATAAATATCCTTTAGTGGATGCTGTGTGGTGAGTTTGATTTTCAACCTCATGTGGCTTTCAGACTGTTCAGTAACTTTATTTAGGCTCATTTAAACATAAGCTTGTTTAGATGAGAACCTAGACAAAGTCTGTGGAGAAGTAATAGGCCAAGGAAGGCTAACAGGCAAGTGCAGGATTTAACTGCAGGAAACAATTGCAGTTTTATACTTACACATTGTATTTCATCTCCGAACCTTCAAGGATATGCATGCATATGTTGCCAAATTATAAACTAAGAAAATAAAATGCTATCCTAGGAGATGAAGAAATAAAATAACTCCTTATTTGGTATCAAGAAGAAAATGTATTTAAAATCAGATATTTCTAACATACCTTTATAGGACATTATATACTACAGTGTGAATGGAAACAAATGATTTATGTACTAAATGCCCAAATGTTTACAATATCATTATCATATTAATCTTAGATTGCTATAATTACTGCACTATTTGGAATAGTAATTTAAAAGATATTTTTGAAGCATTAAACAAAAAACTTTCCAGCCGAATTTGTAACGATGCTGAGTATTTCATTGGAGAATATGTCCTCTGTGAATATAAAAAAAAAAAAACATGAGATCATTACATTTGAAAGGCAAAAGATATTTAGAAGGATTTCTGGCACTGGAATTTGGCACAGCAGATGGAATAAATATAGATACTGAAATGGTAGCATTTACTAATAGGATTGAAGCAAGCCTCAAAACTCCTGAAATTCATCTCTTAATGTAAAACCAAACAAATGCATTAATATGATTTCCATGTTAATGCATAGGGTTTTGTTGAAAATAATGCTAATAATAAAAACACTCATGATTTTACACAAAAGCTGAATTTTAAATGGCTAAATGCATGACATTCTATTTCCATCTTTAAATGTATTTTTTGGACTTTTTAAGGTGATGGTCTCTTTAATTACTGGTGAATATAGGAATTGAGCCAATATGATTTGATTCTGTTTGATTAGGTCAAAATCCCTCTGTACCAAATGTTTGGAAGCTAAAAAAGTATTGTATGCAAGTCAGTGTTTTTATGTATGGTATCAATGAATGATATATTTTCATGTTAAAATTAACACATGCAGGCAAACTAATGTTTTTTGAAATCAATATAGTTTTATGCAGTTGATTTTCTAATAGTAACCTATAAGGAATATAATTTTAGCTACAGTTAAAGATGTGTGCTTATTATCAATTTATTGAAACATTTTATGTTCTATATATTTAGTTATCTTTCTGAGTTTGGAAAAAGTTAAAGGTCAAAGAAATTACTGTCAGCTATTTAGAAACATCAAAGATAGCTTTGGAAAACCTTGCTTACAACATAACAGATTCAACAGTCGCTTATTACAATAGATTTCTTATAAATCAGTGTGCACACCCTAACTTTACAGTTACCGCTCTGAAGATTCCTTTCTATTAAATATGGATGATTTCAGTCTTGATAAAAGGAATCTTATTCATTTGGAGTCAGTACACCACTAGTTATATGTGTTAAGACATTGAAATAATCATACATGATTAAATCTAGAGCATTAAATATCATTCTTGTGGATAAACACAAAGAAAATATAAAATATGCATTTTCTTTTGTGTATTTACTGTGACCACTAAATATGTAAGTCAAGTTTCTATTAGAATTTTCAATATCATCTCAAATTAACAATATTTAAAACTTTTTCTCTCTATCACATGTTTTCTGTTTCTCACCTGTGGACACACAGGCATAAGTAAGTAAATACCATTCTAATTCGAGGGCAGTAGCAAGGAGGTATTCTAGAATAGATTTAGTACTGCTTTGCTATGAATATAGTAATCCTCTTTCATCTTCCAATATTTTGAGGTGGCATGAGTTAAAAATGAGTTAAATGTACAGTATTTGTGCCTACTTGTGAAGGACTTCAAAATTTGATTTGTTAATTTTATTAATGCTTTTCAGCCAAAACTAATTGGCATGATTCTATAGCATTGTTCCCCCCAAAATCAAAGTTCAGCTTTTGACATATCCTAAAAATGGCTTTTCAAAGTTAAGAAACAAAAGTGTTATGCATTCATTTAACATACATTATGCCAACATCCTATTTTACTCAGGTTGACCTGCGAGAATTCTTAAAATTGTACTTTCTCTTAAAAGAAACATTACAATTCTCTATGTGCATCTATATAATTCTATTTCCTGACCTACTGCCCTCCTTTACCAATGTGTCTAATTCATCCTAGATAGCTAAGTACTAAACAGAAATTAAAACAAATCTGTCCTTTGGATTTTACATAAGACCTAAGCCTATTAAAATCCATGCATCACGCAATGTTTGTGGTTATGAGGTCCTGATATTTACATCAGAAGTACTTTTCATTTGTGCTAAATGACTGCTCACATTTTTTTTTATGAATTACGGCTACTTTTGAGTGAATTTGCATGAGTAAATATTTTAGTGACACCAATAAGTTTTAATGTAAATATTCTGAATTCAGGCTCACCTTAATTGTATCCAAATCATATGTGAAGTCAAATACCAGCAGCTTCTCCTCTGGTTGGCAATTTTTATAATGTTTCCAAATTACTAAAGCAGATCAGTCAAGATTCTAACAAATTTAATTTCTCAAATATCTGATTGCGTACTGTCAGTAAAACTGTCCCCTATGTCCCTTATGGTTTTAGTTCGCTTAACCTGGAAAATAGAATGTAAGTTTTTCTATCAGATAGAAGAATACCATTAGCTCGAAGACAGAATGTTGTTGAAATGAGAGATGATAGATAACGATTCAAATACAGCCAGTTATCTTTTATCGAAAACAATAAGCTCTGAACATCTTTAAAGGACCTGAAATGACAGGCTTAGTTGGTGAGCTGCAATCTGGAGAACTGTGAACATGAGTGGACATGGATTCTTTGCTAGCCAAAAAAATAAGAGATTGGCCCAAATTCTTTCATTATTCAGTGAAAGTTTCCCATGCTACTGACAACTGCCAAGATTCCCCTTCCTTTTCTTTTGAAGACTAGGGACTCTGCAGTGATGCTTTGCTTCGGTAGATCAGTGCTGTGTGACCTTTTATGTTTTGTAGAATAATGGCAACCATAAAAAACATCTTTCTCATGAAAACTATGTCACAACTTGTTTCCTTATATTTCATTATCTTCTTTTCTTTCAAGTCTTTTCCTTCTCTACCATTTTCAACAAAGCAGGGGAAATAACTCAGTCTCAGAAGACAGGCGACCTCATCAAGTTGGGATTCCCATTGTGTCCAATACTGTGGACGCTCCCAAGCCACCTCACACAACTGGATCACTTGAGAATAACCAGCTGGATTCTACAAGGAAATTCTCACTTCTATCTCGTGAGGACAGCTTAAGTACCCATGATGTTCTTTACAAGGAACACATACGCCAAGGATCGACAAATTTCAATAACTTTTCCCTGAGAACAGAGTTTGTAAACCCATTTCCCCCCAAAACACAGGTCAAGAGTCAGTCTCTGAGGGGTCCTCGAGAAACATTTAAGAGGATCTGGAGAGAGCCCATCAGCTTGCCAAGGAGACTGATGGGGAAGCTTTCAAAGAGGCCAGAAACCATAGATCTAGTGCAGTGGCCTGGAGATCGAAACACGGGGATGTACCCAAACAGAAGAGGTAGCAACAGTTCATCCCTTACAACTGACGACATAAATTTGACAGAAATGCAGCATGGTGAAACACTGATTGTGCAAGAAGCCCAGAAGTTAAAATCTCTACATTCCACGTCTTCATTTTCCTCTCCTTGGCCTCACTTGCCATTCTCCACTTTGCCAACTGTTTCAAAAACTGTGGAACTCCAATCGGAACCTAATGTTATCACTTCTCCTGATGACCCCTTCATGGAACTTTCTCCTCTGAGTGCTTTAAAGTCTCCAGACTATACACCTACTTCTTTGTTGGCTGTCGGGACCAAACGGAACGATTCTGAAAATCTTTCCCACCCACGAAACATCTCTTCCCTTCTATCCGCCTCTCCTCCTCCACCTGTCCTTACACCTTTCCCTGTTTGTCCTTTCCCTCCACTCTGCCTACCTTTAGCTCCTTCTCCTCTTCGCACACCAATGCCTCCTCATCCGAGTCCGCTTCCTTCTGCAGCTCCAGTTCTGTCCGCACAGTGTTCTTGCTTACCACTTGAGTGCACTGCCAGTGTAACACCTGCCAAGGAAAGTGACTCCTCTGTGACACAGCAAAGCACACTGGGTAATACTGACCCTCAGAAAGAACCAAAGGGGGTTCTGAAACATATTAAAAATTTAGCAGAACTTGAAAAAACAGTAGCTAGAATGTACAGTCACATAGAAAGAAACTATCCTCCCACAAACATTTCAAAAGGCCTGACAATTTGCACTTCAGGTAGAGCGCGTGTGGAAAACACCTCAGACCAAAAGCACGAACATTTGAATGACACTGTTGAGGGAAGTGAAAAGCAATCTCACAGCCAATCTACTTCACTATAATGTCCCTTTATTGTTTTACCTGGCAAATCTTTCATTATAATCATCAAGTCAAATGCCTCATTGGAACATCAAAGAAGATTCCATTATCTTACCCCAAACTCAGTGCAAAACTTTTTTTTTTTGCACATTTAAAAAAGTTTAACCTCATCACTACTAACTCATATTACCTTAATTTTCTTAACTACAAATTAGCATTATTTGTCCTACATTTACTTTAAAAGTAAGTAGCTTCATCTGTTTTTCATTGGAGTATATTGGACATGAATATGATATCCAACTCAAACCAAAGGCTTGATTAATATGTTGATGCAATGACTTTACTTTTTTTTTTCATTTAATTTTTCAACAGTTTTACATGACTACTTAGGGGGAAGAAAGCAGTCTGTTACAAATAAGCTGGAAGTGGAATTTTTGGGTTCCTTTGTTTTTTGAAACCTGTGTTTGGTAGAAAACAGTACTACCAAATAAAACACTATGTACCTAGAACTGCAGGAGAAAACAGATTTAAGACAAATCTAAATCCCAGGTGCTACATTATGTGGTAATCTGTTTCATTATAAGAATATCTGTTATCTTGGCTTGCTTTTATCTTACTGGTATGCTTACAGATTTGGTAACTCCTTCACTTTTTTCAATTGCTGTCTTATTCTATTTATTTCTCATCATGCTTTCCCTTCCCTTATTTATACTGAAAATAAATCTCAAGTTCTTGACTCTTGTAAGGCATTTCATTGTTCCCACAAGTGTTTTACAGAGCTACCTAATTTTGCTTTCTCACATTACAGCAATTCTATTTTTATAAGATTTTACTTCAAATAAAATATTGTATTTTGTCTCTAGTTACAAAGTGAACTAAGAAAGATTAAGACAGATTATACATGAAAAGATGTTACCACCTTTATAGAGTCCTCTGCTTCTTGTTTTATGCAAAGATAAAAATTGCTATTGTAAGAAGAAACTTTTCCAGTTGTAATAGTTACTCTATTCTCAGGGCTCATTTAATAGATAGCCCTCATTGACCATGGGCATTTTGAATCAGATTGCTTTGTAAATTAGTGTAATTTGTGCCCACCACGTAATTCTTTTTCTTTCTATGAAGCTCAGGAATTGAGTTTGAATTACTGGAAATGTTTATTTAAAAAAAAAAAACATTTGTTTTACTCTAGAGTTTGATATTTTAGAAGATATCAATCTACACAGAAAAAGGTACAATTCCCAAATGTAGGCAAACTGTCATGTTTGATAATGACCATTGCCATTGTAAGTATATTAAAATCCATGGAGAGCTCCACAATGAACAATTTCAAAGCTTTGGTTCAACTCTTAGGTTCTGTGACGTTTCTTCAAGACTGGGAGCTGGCTAGTAAGATCAGTCAAATAAAATGTAAGACTAGTTATTTTCATTAGCACATCTGCTTCGACTTCTGTCATCCAACTCAAGAGTAATTTCTTTCTTGGGGTTCTTGAACGTGATTTTTTTTCTCTCTTTCACTGAAACACTTCAGTTGGAGTTTTTGTTGGCAGCTGGTCATATGCATGAGAACTTGTGCTATTTGGCGGACTCTGACAAGGTATTATTCACAATTGTGTGAAACTAATGTGAATGTACGTTTCTCTAAGCTAATTTCTACCAACGTCTTTACATTTAAAACTGAAAAGCTTTTAATATGTGATTTCTAACTAGTGAGTAATGAAATATTTTTCTGAACATTCTTGAGTAGGCACCTACAGCCTTACAAGATGATATAATTGCTTTTTCTACATCATTTTACAATATTTGTATAATCAAAATTTTTAGTAGCATTTTCTAACTCCCAAGCATTTTGTAAATGCTTTAAATTTAATTATTTTATTGATATATTTTATTTAAATAATTTTATGGTTATGTTCAGAAAATTCATTTTCTGTGTAACATCTATAATTTGTATAAAAAAACTACATATTCTCTTCTATACAACCATAACCACCATGACATAGCAACTGCCTTTAGAAAAAGAATTTATCTGCATTTACTAACATTTAATGAAAAATGGGTAAATACCTTATAATGCACACTCAAGATCACTAAGCACTTGCTGCTATTCAAATCAAACTAATACTTACAAATGGTTAAATTGAATAATACACTTTGGATATATATTACATTAAGTGGCACATCACTTATGTGACCGATTTTATAAATATCAGATTGGCAATCATACCAATAATAGCTAATATTGATATATCATATAAAATATTGAAGGGATAATGCATTTAATATGTGAATTGGTGGTTATTAAAATGTGAAGACCCACTTCCTCTAACTTAATTAGTACTAAAAGATAGAAAAGGAGTAAATTTGAAGCCTTCTAAAGATAATAGGATTATTCCACAAATATCAAAGGGCACAAATAAATACAATGTAAAATTGAACTATTTCAAATGTTCATAGGATTAAGGACAAGTTTTATTAATTTTACAATTATTTTACTGATCCATGCATTAACCACATTATAAATGATCTCTGTGGAGATCATTTTTATAGTAAGTTTTCATTGCAGTTTTATATTAATTCCATATTGCATGGTCAACATCAATCTAATATTTTAGCTACTCAATGAGCAATAAATTTTAAGGTTTTTATATTGATATTCAACATTGAATATTCTGTAGTTGCATTTCTCTCATGTATAGTCAAATATTTCACCAACTTAAGTACTACTAGTTTTATCAATCTTATGTGATACTATTTTTTAGCTGTAATTAATGTCTCTCAAAATTTTCATCTATTTTTACTAATATATTTGACCCTGGATAGATAGTGAATACCTTCAATTCATTATTTACAAATCAATCTGAAATAAGCAGAGAAACATCTTATAATGAATAGGAAGACTATATTCCAGAAATGAGGATTATTTTTTTATCTAATGTTATATTCTCTCTGTAAGAAACGTCTCTTTTTACAATGAATGCATTAGGTATATGAGGACCTGTGTACCATAAATAATATTTTATCTTGATTGTAAGTGTATTATATGCTATTGAAATAAAACAAAGTTTTAAAACCTTTTTCTGCTCTGATAGAATGAAGGTCTGAGATGGAAGTATGACTCTCCTTTCATGACATTGCTACAAAATATAATTCCCTGGGAGACAGCCTTAAGTGACTGTCTTTAGTGATTTCAGTATTGCTCAGCTTCTTTTTAAAGGGCCTTTCAGTAACTTTGTCTAATCAAAAAAGCCAAAATGCTTAACACTGACTTCTTCGTTTCTGCCTTACAGGAGAGGTTATGCATCAGAGGTAAGGGCTTATGGTGTTACGCCACACATAACAGGAAACTGTGAAATAGGTAGGACTAAAGTACAGTCTTATCAAACTAGGGCTTTTAACTACATTTCAACAAACACAGGTATGATTTACAGTTTCATATATATTATGCATTTGTTCTCATTTTACACATTTATTTACTTGAAAAGCAGAGCAAAAGAAAGAAAGGGACAGACAGAAAAGCTCTTCCAGCACTGGTTCACTCCCCAAATGGCCCCAACTGCCAGACCACAGCCAGGGTGAAGCCAGGAAGTAGAAACCATCACTGGTCTCCCACTTGGATAACAGGGTCCCAAGTGCTAGCACCATCTTCTACTGCTTTCCCATAAAATCAGCAGGACTGGGTTGGTAGTGGAGAATTGGGGACTCAAACTGCCACTCTATCAGGGGAAGTTACTGCTGCACACTGTGACTTATACCTCTGTGCCACAACATTGGTCTTTGTCTTGGAATTAAGTTTAACATTCAATGGACAACGATCAAATGTTCACCTTTATAAGAATAAAATTGTGTTCTAAATTATTCAATATTTACTCATCATTATGACACCATCCCAAATTTGTTTTCTAAATTAGAAATAAGAGCATCATTCAATTGTTCTTTGTACCAGCCTAAAACTCTATCCTGTCTTCATATTATAGCAAGAGATCTTAAAGATTATAAAAATAAGTAAGTCAGACTGCAAACTCTGGCTTTTCTATTGCATGAATAAGACTTGGTCTATAGATAACTTATTGGCCAGTCTGCCTAACAGTCTTTGGGCTGATTACACCGTAAGCTGTATTAGCCAACAATGCCATTGAGATTTTAATTTGATTTAGAATATAATTTATCAGTAAAGAAACTGAGATGTATACATGTTCCTATTGGCTGTATAGTTTTGAATATGCAAGCCTTAGAACACATGGAAGTGAAATTTAATGCCTCTATAAACAACCTTAACTTTTAGGGATTATAACAATAGATTACAAATTGAACCCAAGTATCACTAATGTAAGCTTTCCTTTCTTTTCCAATGAATATTACTACTAGGTTAACTCAGCCACTATATCATTAAGTTTCTCCCACTTCAGTGAACTATCTGTACTACTGACCATTCCCAACAGCTGGTTCAAATGCAGTGCACTTTAAGGCACACCTTGCTGGCTTTATCATTTGCCACAGTGTGTGAGATGCCACTTGGGACATTTGCATTGCATTTCAGAGTAGGCAGGTCTGAGCACAAACCATAGGAGACAGCGTCAGCCAGCCCTGGCTGTTTGGGAAGTGAAACAATGGATGCAAGATCTCCGTCTCTGACTTTCAAATAAAAAAGTTTAAAGCAAAGATACATATTATTAACTGTCCTTCCAAAGAGTTGATCATCACAAAATGGAAACATTTTTTTTTTGCTTCCATCTTGTTAAAGTATAAATTATCACAAAATAGACCAAATAAACCTGACTTACAGAAGTACAAGTGAAAGACAGGGGGAGGAAGAAAGAATGACTACACTATCTGAGAGCAGTTTTCCTAACTCCAAAACTCTTCGGAAACATGCATTGTTGCATGAGTGTAAGAAATCTGCATTTTGATGAAAATGAGAGAGTGGGGATCTTGTTTTAAATTCCATGTTGAATCCATGACAGCATATCCTTCTGATCATTCTATATTTCTTCCCAATGAACCTGATTATGTTTGTGATTGGGAA